GCATTGGCAGGCGGACTCCCAACCACTGCGCCACCAGGGAAGCCCCTAGGTTATAATATTTTAATCTTGGCATTCAGCACTCTCAGTTGCAGTATAGAGGATCCAGGTTGGTAGTAGCAGGTGGTGAGAAAGCAAATAAGATAGGAAAGTCAGGAAATGACAGGGCCACAAGATGAATCCTAAAAATCAAGGGTCAAGAAAAGTCCTACAAGTATACAGATAGAAAAAGATGTTCAAGTAGCCCTCTCGTTTCACATGTTACAGATAGGTCCCTGTAAGCATTCAGGATACCAAGAAATTAAAGAGAAACCTAAACTTTGCCTCCTCCTCATTGAAACTGAGGCTTAGGGCTGGCTAATGCCTCAGATCTCACTGGTGAGAGGGAACATGAACTGCTCGAAAAATGGCTTGGTTTTATTTGCACTGTGACTTAGTGATAAGTATTCTTGACTTATAGGTATTTACCTAATAGGCTTTTTATTCCTAGAAAGAGATTAAAAAAAAGCTGTCTGAAATGCAGAATCTTGAAGAAACAATGGGAAAACTTCAACTGGTAAGTAGGTGTTATATTGCAGGGGTCCCCAATCCTCAGGCCGTGGACTGGTATCGGTCCGTAGCCTGGTATCGGTCCGTGGCCTGTTAGGAACCGGGCCGCACAGCAGGAGGTGAGCGGCGGGCGAGCAGAGCTTCATCTGCCGCTCCCCATCACGCGCATTACCGCCTGAGCCATCCCCACCCACATCCGTGGAAAAATGGTCTTCCATGAAACTGGTCCCTGGTGCCAAAAAGGTTGGGGACTGCTGTTATATTGAATTGCCAGCATTTTCATCAAGAAAATTTTTATGTTTTATTTTACATTTTTTTTACTAAGATATAATTAACCTATCATCATATTCACTCTTTTAAGTGAACAATTTAGCAGTTTTGGTATAGGCACAAAGTAGTACAGCCATAGTTTGTCCAAATTATGGAAGACATTCTAAACCATGGCAGGCTGTTTGGATTTTATTCTAGTGGATAGTAGAAAGCCATCTAAAGTGTAAGCAGAGTAAGACAAAGGCATCAGAGATTCAAATGAATGAACTGGTTTCTTAGAAAATGTGGGAAATAATTTAAGGTATTAAAATGATCTTCATCTCTCGGGGGTCTCATTGCTACTCTGCTCCCACAGTTTTGTATCCACTCCCTGAGGGGCTGTCTGGTCAGTCTTTAACTTGCCTTTGGCAAGGCTGGCGTGGGCAAAAGAGTGAGGAGGAAGATAGGAGGTGCAGTGGTTTTTTTCATTAATATCTAATTCCAGAACATTTTATCACTCCAGGAAAAAACTTCATATCCATTAACAGTCACCCCTCATTTTCCTCTGCTCAGCCTCTGGCAACCACTGGTCTGCTTTCTGTTTCTGTAGATTTGCCTATTCTGGATACTCTGTATAAATGGAATTATATAATATGTGACCTTTTGTGTTTGGCTTTCACTTAGCACAATGTTTTCAAGGTTCAAGCATGTCATAGCATGTATCATTACTCCTTTTTATGGCTAAGTAATATTCCATTGTATATATTTAGTTTCATTTATATTTTTATAATTCTTTAATATCATATATAATAGGTAGCAAGTTACACTATTTATAAAGTGCTAGAAATCTTAATTATAGTGTTAAAATTTTCAGGAATTAAACTTATGTCATAAAGAAAAGGAGAGGCTGAGTGATGAACTCCTTATAAAATCAGATCTGGAAACTGTTGTTCATCAGCTTGAACAAGAAAAGCAAAGACTTAACAAAAAAATTGAAAGTTTCGCAGTTACAGGTAAAATATAAAATGTTGATAACTTAAAAAGTGATTGTGATGTCTTCTTAATGTATTATTTTTAGTAGTAGATGATCTTTCATTCATTTATTTAATAAATATTTGTTGAGTGCTTGCTGTGTATCAGAAACCAGAGTAGGCACTGAGATACAGTAGAAAACCTCTCTGTCTCCAGGACCTTACAGGGGCCTTTTACATTCTGACTAGTTGGTACAGGGAACCCCGTTTGAATATTTTTCAATGAACATATATCCTTCTTTGAGGCATGCAGTAATAGAATTAATTAAGACTACGTGGAAGACCATTCTGAAATAGTGGAAAATTGAAGTATAGAATCTTTTTAAGTAAATGCAGTTTTATCACCTTAAAGTATACACACACACACACACACTTGAAATAGGCTTTCTGCCAGGTACCCCATCCTAAATGAGTTGGTTTAAGGAACTTGTAAGAATTCATTCATTTGTTCATTCATTCATTTGACAAGTGTTTATGAACCAGTTTTGGTGCCAGGGTACATAATGGTAAACAAGATACACAAAGGCTCCTGCTCTTGTGGTGGCTTTAATCTAGTTAGGGAGACAAACTAGTAGCACATAAGTGAAGAAGTTAGTTTTAGGTGATAAGGGTTTTCAAATACAGTGGGAGGGTATGCTAGAGATCAACTGATCCAAGGGCTTAGTGACAGGACACCAGCCATATGAAGATCTGGGGCAATTTTCCAGGCAGAGGGGATGGCAAATGTGGAAGCCTGGTGCCATCAAACTCCATGTAGTGAAAGAAAGCCAGTGTGCTATTTTAAGAAGAAGCTATATCCTAGGCTCTTCAGCATTCATGTGGATAATCTGTTTAACCTTCTCTCCTTACCAGCTGTATGACTTGAGCATGTTCCTTAGCATTGCTTCAGTTTCCATATCTGTGTGGTTAATGATGGCACCTAAAACCAAAAGGTTGTTGTGAGGATTAAATGGGTTAATATATTGTTAAAGTGCTTAGACCTACATGTAAAAGTTTGCAATTTACTTCCTTTCATGCTAGCTCTAACCTGCCATTTCAGTGTAATTTTTCAGTTACCTGAAACTCCCTCGTTCCTTTGTGTTTTGAATACATCTCCCTGCCCAAAACCTAGCCATGGATCAACCAAAGCACTCACACGCGAGCAACTAAGCAGTCCTTGCGTGTGCACCCGACAGTATCGACGGCACCGTAACTTGTATGGTCCCAAAGCACAGCACCCACCCCTCAGTGATGTATGGAAATCTTACACTATACTTCTTACTGCTTAGTTGCCCAGTCTCTGCAGGGAACATTTTCAAGTGTTTTTCATTCTCAGTAAACCCATTCTAAGAGGATGATCTTAACCTTTGGTTTCCCCTAAGAAAATGGAAGCCGTCAGGCATTCCGTCAGTTTCCTGTCCCCAGATCTTGAACCTGTCCATCTTTATCTTTCCTCCTGTTACTTGTACCTCTTATGAAAGACCACTGCCTCCATCTGTTCTCTAGATCCCATTCTCTTTAATTTTAAAACGCTTTCATATTAATTATCTCCTTTCCTAACTTTACCCTTTGTACTGTTTTTTCCCATTAGTATTCAAACATGCTTACCCTTCTCCCATTCTAAAAGCAAAAATTGTACCCATTCCTATCCAGCCAC